CATTGTTGAGATTGATAACATCAGTTAACTTCTCACCAGTAGGCAAAGTTTCCTCAAACACCCACATTCGAACCTCATCTGAAATCCAATAAACTCAAGAAACGGATATCAAAATGCAACGAAAATGGCGCAAATCGAAATCCAGTAGCATAACAAACAAATCCCATGTTTCAGAAGTTGAAGAAAATACCATGGAAGGAACTCAGCCTAGCCGCATTAGAGGCGATGAGTTTAGCCGCAACACTGCCCCAATTTCCACTTCCAACGATGGTAACTTTGGATTTTCGAGAAACCCCATCATCGGAGAAATGGGAATCGGGACGAACAGAGCCCCCATTGCTAGAACGCTGTGGAGCTTCGATCCCGGGAGCCATGGAAGAAATGGGAGGGAGAGAATGGAGAAAAGGAAGAAAATGGGAGCGAGCGGTGGAGAGAAGTAGAAGGGAAGAGGAAGAAGAAATAGAATATAAAGAGAAATTAAGAGAGCGGAGAAGCCATACACGTTTCGTGAGAAACAAAGCGCATCCGTGCATTTTGTTAAATCTGGCGATCCAAACTAAGGTCTGCTATATTTCATGGAGTTCATTTATTTATTGTTTTTACATATTGTTCTCGAATTTTCAGAAACGAAACGCATAATCATTGTATTAAGCTAAAATGTCAGATAATTGCAACATTTTTTGGGTCTGAAAGTGAGGAAAATCTAAAAATAGAAAGCTTCATGGAGATGGGTATTATCTGGATTCCCGGAGATACCCATAACCAAAATTAAATCTTTGGGCTCTTCCAAAAATGGCGTGATTACAAAATAATGATGAGTATTAGAAATGGGTTCAGAATAAAGCACACACGTTGGTCAGTTATTCCAAGGTAACTTTTTTAGCGCCTGGTTCATCGGTTCTTCCGAATTACTTTTACAAATAATAATGCTTCAAATACTTGTTATTTAATTATCTAAAACTTTCATAATATTAAGAAATTGCAAAAAAAAAAAAAAAAAAAAAAAAAAAAATTTTTAATTTTT